ATATTATTTCTGAAGTTGTTAGAATATATGGGTTTGAATATTCCATGGGTCTGTGATAGATAGGATGTTATTGCTCATGACTTTAGTAGCCTATAACTTTAATCTTAAATATCACTCTAGTATTCTAATATACCTTGTAGTTGCTATCTTCATTGATATCAATTCTATTCAAAAATGAATGGAATATCACAATCAAATGAGTGGTTCTAACAATTTTTTTCTAGGGTCCCTCTGAGATGCTTAATCAATGTTAGGCAACTGGACCACTTTAATCTGAAACCAAAATGGTAAAAAGTCCAAAATGAGGATTTCTTTAAAACAATGTAGTAATGTGTTTTATTCAAATTTGGTAATTAAAACTCTTGGTGGCAATCCACCATGACTTTCTGTTTACTATCAAACATAGAGATGGAAGCTAATTAATTTCAGTCTATCCCACTTTCAGGTACTCAAAATCGCTGAAACAGAACATTTGCCACTTACCTGCGAACAGGCTGTGCAAGTTTGCTGCGAGGCACTGGTATGCCCAACCAGAAGGGCAACTTGGTCTGGGCAGCACTTCTCATTGGCAGTTGTCCCTGCGGGTCTGGTTAGAGTAGCGCTGTTGATATTGCTGGGAGGATTTTGCTGAAGACTGTGTTCTGAACCACAGGAGGCCCAGGTGAGGAGGTGGTTTGTGTGAGCTGTGTTATTTCTTGGCTACCAGGAAGAACCAGAGCCATGGGTTTTGGACTAAATGCTTTCACTGGTTGCGCGTAGAGGCCCAAAGGAGATGGTGCTGCAGGGGAACGGAATTTGGACTGGAGAAGGTAGCTGTGGAATAGCAAAGAAAAAGTCCGAGAGTTTTTTTGAGTGGATAATAGTATATAATAGTGAAACCATGGTGCTTTACTGAGCAACTGATAGATTAGTGCCACGTAGTTAGGTTTCAGGAAACTGTCATAGGTGCAATTTGCAAATATATATGAGCTATCTCCTGGGCTATGTGCTTAAAAGAAAATGTACGGTGGGGGTTTTTGGTGTTGTATATGTTGATATTCTTAAAGAAACCAAGTATTAAAAGGATAGGCAACTTGTCTTTGGGACAAGCAGTAGTTAAGTAGGGGTGGTTTCAGGTTTGCATTGGAACCATAACACACAGGAGATGTAGATAAGTCACTGGCGAGGATTCTGTCTCACTTGTTAGCAACTAAGCTGGGCCTACATAGTGAATGGTAAGCCATGATCTATGGAGGTTGTAATATATCAGACTGACTATCCAATTGTTGGTCTAGAATTTTGAAACATGATTTCCCCGCTTAAGAGAACATTCATGTAAACATGTAGGCTAAGTATCTGTGAGGCTGCTATTGTCCATAATCTGCGCACATGTATTGACACTGTAATTAAGGGAAATTTAGAAAGCTAGAAGAATCATTTGTTAAAGAAGTGTCTACGCAATTCTGGTGGCTTGCGACAAGCGAGCAATCTGTTGTTATGAAAAAACAATTCAAAAAGCATGCCGTGAGCATGCAGCCCCAATAAAACCCAACGCTAGTCTCAAAGCTCTGAGGCATGTAGTAACTGGTCTCTGATACCTGATGGG